TTAAAGTCAGGGAAAAAGTTAAAATTTGTCTGGAAATCTGGGGGAAATAATTAAATATTTGTGGCAACCCTATACTTATGTTCCTACTGTAACTGCTTCTCTTGAGGAAAAATGATACAAATCTTTTTAGCCGCCTCTAAACATTCAGACACTCCAGGGCTGAAAATAGAAAAGTCAAATATAACTAAATATAACTAAATATATACTAAGTTTTAAAAAATATTGTTAATCTTACTTTGCATTGTGTTTCAAAAGAGCATTGGCAATAGCGCTACTGATCGCGTTTCTGTGAGTTTCGAGCAAACATCCATGAATGTTTTGATGATTCAATGCATTTACGCATACCAAATTGTAATTAGAGAGATAATCTTTGAAATCCTATAAGTACAATTAAATTATATTATTATTCATACAAAAAAGATATTTTTTATATGAATTATATTTTCATACTTACTAGATTTTGTATGAATTCTAATGCAGCGAAAGAATGTAAATGTTTAGTGCTGCCAATAGAATTGTTATTTCTTTTTCTTTTTCGGCAACTAGAGTCTGATTTAGGTTCATCTGATGTCGAATCAGAGCCAGAAGGAATTGCGGAAGAATTATTATTAGTTTCATTAGAAACTATTGTAGATTCTGAATTTGGTGTTAACGTATGTTGACTTATTATTTCAAATTCAGAATCAAGTAGTTGTAAAGGTGGAGAATCTGATATAACAAATTGATTCTGATTAATAAGATTTCCTAAAGGCGTGATGAAAACTGGTTCACTTTTATCTTCTCCTGGACTTTTATTGTCATTTAAGAACGAATTAGGCCTACTCTCACTTGCCTACAAAAAAAATGCAGTAATTAATTGTATGTATTTGTTTGATTTTAAGTTATTTTCAAATGCTTTTTTAATTTTCTATTTTTTTATTTCAATTAATCATAAATAAAAGTTTCTTTTCAACTTAAGTAAATTATTTTCAAGCTTAATCAACTTAAAAGAAGAAATTAATTAATTAATCAATTTAATTTATTTATCAATCACAACAGAATAATTATACTAAATATCGTAATTTCACATTTCAAAGAAAATAATAAATTTAACCTTAAATACGTTCTTGTAGAATCATAAAGAATTTAATTTTTAACACTTTAAATAATTTAAAGTTATTTTCGAATACATAATTTTTCGTTAACAAGAAATTAAAATTCTTTACCTTTTCACCAAAACGAATTTAACGAATTTAAATCTAACAATTATATCTTACTGACTAACGGTTTTAATTTTTATTTAAATAAAACTTATTAATTTGTTTAAAACGTTGCAAATTAAATTTTTTACCTTTTCACTAAAACGAATTTAAAATTAAATTTGTCTTTCCCTTCGAAAATACAAAATTATGACATTCGATTAACTTTCGTTTTGACGATTCTAAAAAATTGTATTAGGTTCGATATAAAATATTTTTGTTAAATGAATGTAATTATATTACTACAAATCATTACCTCTGATTTCAATGTTTTTAAACACTCGAATAAATCTATCCTAAGGCCAATGTCAGGAATTAACTCCCTTATCAAATCGTCTGTTAGACCCTTCAATCTCCTCATATTGTTAATTTTATGGGCTAATATTAATAAAAATAAAGTGATAAATAATTTACAAACAATGATACAATAAATCCAACAAATAATAAATATAAATAAAAAAATTAAAGTACAGTTTTATTTTGAGGTTATGTACACGCGTGGTGATCAATTACACATGCTTTAAACTTTAATCTAACCTCTAAAATCTTGATAATTGTGTTTCTTACCTTTGAAGACTTCTATTAACTCATCTAATGAGTTATTTTGAAGCCAGACAGTCACTTGGTCTATGAATTCGGTCAAGAGTGCAATTATTTGATGTACGTATCAAATAAACACAAATATACGCACGATTCCCACCGACAATTAAAATCACTGCACACGACCTATCGGTTAATGAGTATACTGTGGCGTCTGTTGGCGCTTAGATTAAATTGAGAAACGCTTGTATTCTTCTTTTAAGAAGAATATTTAAGAAAATTTTCTTAAAATTACAATATTTTTAAGAGAATTAATTTAAGAAAATTATACTCTTAATTTAAGACACGGTTGTCTTCAAGCACTTTTAGGTTTACCTAAAATGAGTCAAAATTGTGCTAACGCAGTTTTATCTGGAATCGGCCCAAGATTCCAAATTTTCATTTCCGAAAATTGTAGCTGATTCTTTTTTCGAAAAAAACCAAAAAAACATATATATATATGGGCAATTCCACGTGAGCTTTTAGTCGACCTCTTAAAATCGGCCAAAAATATTTTTTTTCTATTCTGTATCGAAGAAAAACAGATACGTATTTTTTTATTTTTGTTTAATTGTCCAAATTCTCGAGTTATGAATTTTCGAAATTTTGGACTTGTAATTGTAGACCTATATTTAGTAGCTTATAAGTCCGAAAATATTGAGTTTAGGAAAAATTTGTCACAGAATGAAAGTTTTAGTTTTCTTTCGACTTTTAAGAAATGTAAACAAAAAATTTTTTTTAAATTTTTTATTAAAAATTTTTTTTTTTTTGTAAACAAATTAATTTTTTTTTATAAACAAATTAATTTTTTTTAACTTTAGCCCGGATTTTTTTTATTTTTTTTAAATTTATTTATTCCTTATAATATAGAGGAAGATTTTCCAAAAAATCCCGAGAGGTGGGACTGATGTGTTGAATGAGTTTTAAAACATTTTCAAAAATTACTTGCAATCATCACAGTGGGATTTTCTTACAATTAACTTCTAAAATTGTCTATACAGCGTAGATCCTTTAATTTAAAAAAAGAACTCTCAAATAGATTAAAATTATACACTGTAGACAATTTTAGAAGTTAATTGTAAAAAAAATCCCACTGTGGTGCTTGCAAGTGATTTTTGAAAATGTTTTAAAACTCATTCAACACATCAGTCCCACCTCGGGACTTTTTGAAAAATCTTCTATATATTATAAGGAATAAATAAATTTAAAAAAAATAAAAAAAATCCGGGCTAAAGTTAAAAAAAATTAATTTGTTTATAAAAAAAAATTTTTTTTAATAAAAAATTTAAAAAAATTAACAAAAAATTTTTTTGTTTACATTTCTTAAAAGTCGAAAGAAAACTAAAAGTTTCATTCTTTGACAACTTTTTCCTAAACTGAATAATTTCGGACTTATAAGCTACTAAATATAGGTCTACAATTACAAGTCCAAAATTTCGAAAATTCATAGCTCGAAAATTTGGACAATTAAACAAAAATAAAAAAATACGTATCTGTTTTTTTCGATACAGAATAGAAAAAAAATATTTTTGGTCGATTTCAAGACGTCGACTAAAATCTCACGTGGAATTGCCCATATATATATGTTTTTTTGGTTTTTTTCGAAAAAAGAATCAGCTACGATTTTCGGAAATGAAAATTTGGAATCTTGGGCCGATTCCCGATAAAACTGCGTTAGCACAATTTTGACTCATTTTAGGTAAACCTAAAAGTGCTTGAAGACCACCGTGAAGAATATATTAAGATAAATTTTAAGAATTTTTTTTTAAGAATATAATTTTCTCAAAATTAGAATACCGTTTTTTCGGTGTAAAAATCCTTCCAGTTTATCTCCATTAGTCAAGAATTGACGGAAAACCGTCGATAAAAATCCCTATTTTTCTTTCACTCTTTCTTTCTGCATTTACAAACGACTATAGTAATTTTACGTACACAATACTTCTGAGTTTACTACAGTTGTTTGGAACTATTGGACGAAATAGTAAGAAACTTTGCTAATTTGGTGAACATTTGTCAGATTAGTGACTTAGTGTAGAAAATAGTAAAAAATACAAAAAGTCTCCTTATTTCCGGTGGTTGCAATGTGAAAATATTAAATTCTAGTGTGATTTTATACAAAAATTAGTAATCTCGGTCTCTCCGTGTAGTTATTCATTTACTAAGGATGAGGTATTTTTTACTAATTGCTAAAACAAAAAGTCAGCCAAGATTTTACTAACAATTAGATATTTTAAACTAATTCAGATTTAGAGAGAAGAAGCGATGTAATTATTTTAAATTTGTAATTTTTCATGTTGATTAAAATGAGAAATTAATAAATTACCCCAATTGCACGGAATTCATCCACATTTTAGGAATATTAAAATTAATGAACCTTATAGAAATAATGAGGAAATATTCCATTTGGAATATTGTAATTGTAATGTAGTAGAAATATTTAATTGAAATATTTTATATGGGGTAGGTAGTTGATCTGAACCAAACTTCACAAGAATTTACCAAATTATCTGCAAATTTTTTTTTCTTATTTAAATCTTTTATCATTTATGTACGTATACCAAAATATAGTACATGGAAAAAATATTTTTCAAATTTTACAAAACTTTTTTGAATAAATCTGAAGTTAGCGTCGACGCTAAGAATCAAAATCAATTTTCTTTCGGCTGAGCGTCGACACTAATTTTACTGAAGTAATAATTTGTTTGATTCAAATAAACGATTACCTGTCTATTATAAAATAAATATTTATTTAATACTGAAACTATTAGTCCCAATTATAATTTATTTGATAATAAACAAGTAATTTATTATTTGAGACAAATAAATTTTCTATTCATTGTTCAGGAAACTCTTTTGGATAAATCAATCTAGAAAATTCAGATTCACGTAATTTGTAGAGAAGTTTTGTAAAATGCTACAAAATTTTAGCACAATCTAATCTACTAAACAATATTTGAAGTTACTTTAATCACAGTTTGCTAAGGATCTCAAATTGAGAGTACATAAAAGTGTAACAAATTGGTGGAACGCAAAGTTTTGATGCTGTTAATAGTCTCAATTTGAGATCCTTTCAAAAAATGTGTTGAATAACTTTGCACTTTGTGCTACTAAAGACCAAAAGTTTTGTAAAATTATGAATAAATTTTGTACACGTATAGAGTAAGAACTTTACATGATTTTTAGATAATCTTGTTCGAAGAAGCAAAATATTGTCAAGTACTTTTGGAAGAGGATATACTATTGCAAGAGGATATATTAGATACATATATATTATTGAAAGTGAAAGAAGTGATCATCCTTTGAGCGCGGATAAATGTGATACCTACACTAATCCCGCTTATACGAACTTGCCTTTTGAACTGTGAATACAAGTGTTACTTAAGTCAGAAACAAAAATAGATTAAATCTATTTTTCAACCTGTTACAAATCGTTTATATAACAAAAGATAACTGACACAGAGTTTATAATAGAAGAGAGATAGCATCTGTTGTTAAATTATTATTATTATTAGTAATTAAAAAGAAAAAATTCATGTTAATAAAAGAGAAGAAAATTGAGGCGAAGGAAATGACGAAGAAGTGTAAGATTTGTGAGTTGTTTGGTGAGAATCAAGTGGCAAATCATGGATTAAGTCATCCGTGTCATTTGGCAAATTTGCAACAGTCAAACATCCTCAATTTGGGCTTGAATTATGATTCCGACACAAACTACGTGAATCACGGTTTACTAAATGGTCTTTATCTGCCGCAACTCAAGGATATGATGCTCGCCGCCTACTTACTTAGAGGTAAACTTTTTTATAATATAACAAAATAGTTCTAAAAAAGTGTAAGAAAACAATTTTAAAGAAATTTGTGTTTGTTACTGTTTTACAATTTTTATCAAGTTATGAATATTCCCTTAGTAAAAGAAAATTAGTAAATTGAAATTTTTATTATAATAAATTATTATAATTTATATGATAATCATGACTGGAACCAACGTAAAATTAATTTACACAGGCGAAATTTTTATTTCTAATTATTAAAAAACAGTGGAGACCCCATTATCCGGATTTTTGATTATGCGGGCAAATTTCAAATACATTTTAAAAAAATTTTAAAGTTTATGAGCATTAAATAACAAAAATTTTTTGTTAGAAATATTAGAGAAATATTAGATAAAATAATATTTCTCAGGATAAAGGAAAATAGGTTTCACTGTTAACACAAATAAAACACAAGGTCTATTAAGCTGACACCACAACTTTGCTATTTTTAAATTTCAACAATAAGGTAGTTCAAGTTGGGTGGGGGAAATCCAATATGGCTGCCATCAGCTGATTTACCGGAGGACAAACAATGCATTGAATTCAATGGGACAAATCAGTTTTTTAACCATAACTTTTTAAATATTCATTTTTGAACCATAGTGTAATGGAAAATTATTCTTTATTTATCGAAATCTATTTTTTAAAACAATAAAATTTAATTTTTTGGTTTTATTGTTTTAAAAAATAGATTTCGATAAATAAAGAATAATTTTCCATTACACTATGGTTCAAAAATGAATATTTAAAAAGTTATGGTTAAAAAACTAATTTGTCCCATTGAATTCAATGCATTGTTTGTCCTCCGGTAAATCAGCTGATGTCAGCCATATTGGATTTCCCCCACCCAACTTGAACTACCTTATGCCATAATTTAGGGCTCAATTAGAGCTAATTACCGCTAAAAAGTAAAAATTTACCGCTCCTCATTTTTAAAAAAAAAGGTCATTGGTGCTAGCTTAACGTTAAGCTGGCACCATTCGCTTTTTATACATGATAAATAAAGACAAATCAAAAATTTCTTTTTGCCATAATTTAGGGCTCATTTAGGGCTTTCAAATGGATAAAAAAAATTTCCAACAAACAATCTTTAATTAAAAAAAAATAGTTTTTCCAATTTTCACACTGCAAAAAATTGAGTCATTAACGCCCATGCTTAAATTAATGGAAATATCAGCAAAGTTAGTACTGGAAACAGGACTGAGGTCCAAATAATTACTTTTGACATTAAAAATTGTTCCAAAAATAATTTGTTTAAACAAATTGTTATAAACAAAACAGAACTGAGGTCCAAATAATTACTTTTGACATTAAAAATTGTTCCAAAAATAATTTGTTTAAACAAAGTGTTATAAACAAATAAAAAAAATTACAGAATTTTTAAAAAATAACGCCGCAATACGATTTTACAAGAAAAGTTATTAGAGAAATATGTCTTAATTTCTAAACATTCTTCAATTTTAATCATTAATTTAATAAAAATTTAATTTAACTAATTACTCTTTTAAAAAATCTTAACGACAAAATTATTTACTTGTTCCACAGTCCTGCTTCTAATATTGCCTTTAGTGATTCTCAATGTGTCTGAATTTCGGGATCTGCTAATTAAAATTGTTCCGCTCTTCGTCTTTTTTTAAAAAAACGGTTCCTGGTATTTCCAAAAATAATTACAAAATTAATTCGATTTTTCGTTACACTATTTAGGGCTTATCTAGGGCTTAAGGGTTAATGCTTTCTTTACAATTTCCTCACTACACAAAAGTGCTCAAAGTTTGTTTCAAAAATTTATTTTCTGATTATAACTGTGTCAGAATTTCGGGCTTTAATAGGGATTATCACCGCTGCTAATTAAAATGTTCCTCCTTTCGTCTTTTCTTAAAAATACGGTCCTAGGATTTCCAAAAATAATTACAAAATCACTTTTTTTCGTTTGATTAATTAAGGCTTATTTAGTACTTCCTAAAAAATCGGGATTTTTTTCCGGAAAATCAATCTTTATTGGAATCTTTTAAATAATAATTAGAGGTGTGCAAAAAGCTCGAAAAGCCGAGCCGAGCCGGGCCGCAATTTTTTCGAGTTGAGCCGAGCCCGAGCCGGGCTCGATGTATCGGGTACCCGGAATTTTCGAGTACCCGAAACATTCGGGTACCCGAATTCACTGGAGTACTCGAATATTTCGGGTACTCGAATGAATTCGGGTAACCGAAATTTTCGAGTACTCGATTTAATTCGAGCTTTTAAATTAAAAAAAATTTTTTTTTGAAAAAAAAGAATTTAATTAAAAATTAATGAAGAAAATTTTGGATTTTCTCAAGGGCTCGAATCAAATCGAGTACTCGAAAATTTCGAGTACCCGAAATTATTCGAGCTTTTTATAAAGCTCGGCTCGGCCCGAGCTCGGCTCGAGCTCGAACTGAATAAGCTCGGCTCGGCTCGAAAAATGAAAAGCTCGAAAATACCCGCTCGAGCTTCGGGTTTCGAGCTTTTTGCACACCTCTAATAATAATATTTACTTTAAATACTGAAATTAATTATGCAATTAAATTATTATCGTACTAGCTAAAATAACCCGCGCTAAAGCGCGTGTGTGGTTTCTTTTTTTATGGTATATAAACATATGTACAAAAAATAAAATTTCATTTTTATATTACATTATATTTCGAAAATAAAAGTAAAAATTATTATAAGCAAAAAAATTTAAAGAATGTTATTAAAAATTTTAAAGATTATTTAGGGTTTAAAAAATTTTAATTGAATTTTCAAAAAATTATAAATTTTTAGTAAAATTTTTGGTAAACTTCAGTTTTTTAAAAACTTTTAATCAAATTTATGTCAAACTTTAATTTTTTTTTAATTTTCCTCAATTTCGTATGAATTCTATTATTTACAAAATTCTTTATAAGAATTCAATTTTAAGAAATAGGTATTTAATTATTCAATAAATTATTTATTTTTGCATTTAAGTAATTAAATTCTCGTAGAATTTTCTAATAAAAATTGAGTTAAACATGAATACAGTTAAAATTTTAGACTTGAATATTTATTATTCAAATTATTCAAATATTCGAATAATATTTGAATTTAAAAGCATTATAGTACCTATGAATTTTAAGAAATAATTGAATTTTGAAAAGGTTTCAAATTAAATTCTTTGGAAATTTTAATTTTTCATACTTTTAACCAACAATTTTGTAGAATTACTTATTTTGAAAAAGTTTAATTGAATTCTTTTCTGAAATTATTTGAAGTGTTTATTTTTTAATACGTATTCAATTGAAGAATTTCTGAATAATTAAAATTTAATTAATTAATTAATTTAATTTAATTTTTTTAATTATATACAAATGGATTTGAAAATTCTCAAAGAAATATTTTATAAACTTTCGCGTCAATATTTCACATAGGCGGACATTTTCCTATTTGCAGCAATATTTCAAGGACCTTGCACTGTACTATTTCAATCTTTCAGTGAAATATTCAGGAAATATTTAGGAAATATCATGTGCTGTGTGGGAACTGATTTAACGAAGAATTTTATTTAAAAATTCTATAGAAAATAATAATTTAATAAAAATGAGGAAAATAATTTTGAAAAAGTTAAAGTAAAAATATTCCTATTAGATATATAAAACAATTATCTTGTTACTCGGTTATCTTTTATTTCTTCATGATTTATATAATAAAAATGTAAATATATTTTTACAATCGTTTTTAACAAATAGAAATTTTGTAAATATTTTTTCGAAAATAAATTTAATATTTTTTAAACAAAATTTTATTTGTAATGATCTGAATTTTAATTGCCAAAAGAATAGCTCGCCGGATGGAGTCCGGGTACTTAGTTTAGTTTAGCAAATTAGTCTTTAAATCTTTATCAAAACATTATTTAAGTTAAGGACCGTTATATACCATGATTTAGAGTAAGGTGTAGTCATTAATAAGGCATTAATTAAACCTTCGTAAGAAAGTATATTTTAATAACAAATAAAAGAATAACAAAATATCATAAGCAAAATAAATCGTAGAAATACTAGTAATAAAATATCGTTCGCTAGTTTATCATCCGAGAATAGTGACTTATTTTAGTTTACCGTTTCACTATTGAACGTTTCACTTATTACATATTTACCGAGTTTTACATTACATTACGTTACTTAATTTTACTAACGAGTTACGCTTTACTAGATTTAATTATTTCCGAAGCTAGTCATGAATTTACTTCTCGATTTTCATATTGAACGATTACGTAGTTTGTACACTCTAGTAGGGACGATTTCGCAATACTTCACTAGGGAGAAATCGTGTCAATGAAGAGCCAGTACACTCGCTGACCCTCTTATCCAATAGGAAAATATACCGAAATAATTAAATCTCTATTCAAGCTTCATCTTCCCCCAAGATGCACCTTGGGTTGAAGAATCTACCTAGTGCGTCATCTCCGTCAAGAGAGTTGCCCCTCAACTCGGCGGGGATGGATCAACCATAGTTTTGTGTTGTAAATGTGTAATTGTGTGAGTGCTAGTGTATGTGAATTCTAGTGCTAGGACCAACACGGTTGCCCCTATAGAAGGTCCACTGCTCTAGAGAGTAGTAAGAGTAATGTGAGTCGAGAGTGTAATAGTGTAGAGAATGTAGTGAGTGCATTGGTTTCACACGGAAGCCCCCCTAGAGCAACCACAGCTCTCACGGTGAGAGAGAAAGGAAGCGAGGCGAAGGGTGTTACCCTGGTCAACGGTTGCCCCCGAGCCCCAGTGCACATCTCCTTCTGGAATTCTTACACAGAGCTAGTGGTAGCGGTAGCCCCCACATTTCACCTGCCCTGTGCAAAAGGTAAAAGGGTTAAGGGTGAAAGAGTGTAAGAGTGAGCTGCTGTCGGTCTACCTCGGAGCAAGCCCAGAGTCAGTTCATGGCCGGATCACTCCTATACAAATTCGTGGTACACTTTTAACAGCGCCACTAGTTAACCGACTAGTAACAAC